CCAAATGGATACCCACTTGACTTGGCATCACTTATTGAAAGATCTTTCTTCAGTGGTCTCAGTGTTGTAAATCGTCCACATATGTGCTTAGGATTTGTTTGTCGATGCTCAAAGTGAGATTGGCCTATAATTTTTCTTTCTTAGCTTATGTTAGTAATCTTAGTTATTAGAGAAGACTCCTTATTTGATTCCCCCCCATCAAAGTCAATCTGATGTGGTGTAAGAATGGCTTGGGGGCAGTGTCTGACCTCCTCTAACTTCACAAGGGGGAAGAATAATCAAGATCAACCGGCCCAAGGCTGATTCCCATGAGACAGAGGTCAGACAAGCCTCTTCTCTCTGCCATCTTTACTAATTCTGACACCAACTCTCCCTCGCACAGCACTGTCTACTTCTCTGCTGGGTTTGATAATTCATTGCAATGGCCACACAGAACTCACAGACCATACTCACGATTATGGGGTTTATTAGGGAATTAACAGATTACAATTCAGGCTCAAGAACACTCAAGGATACAGTGCTACCATCAGGACAGCCTCTTCCCAGCCATGCTCTCAGGCACGCCTCTCCCTGGCCCTAGGCCCAGAGGCACTCAGCTTTCTCTCTCTCTCTCAGGCCCACCATGCTGTGCTGTCTTCTGCTGCCAGTGTCTGCCGCTGGGTCTCTCTTGCCACCGCTTCTCACCATCTTCAGGGTTACACCTGGCTCTCTCTTTCTCTTGCTATTTCTCGGTTACCTGCTTCCAGGAGCTTCTCAAGGCAGGGATTCCAGGTCCAAAGAATGCGCTCTCCACTCCTGGCTGTTCTTCCTTGGTGGTGTTAAGATCCTCATCTCTGCTCTGGAATTGGCTCTCTTTTGAGGAAGAACTGACCAACCCCCTTGGTGGGCCACAATGACCCTATCACACAGTCCTGCTCAATCACCTGGCTCTAACTAACAAGACCATGGCTAGAAAGGCCGCACAAAAGTAATCAATCGCATTGCATACGGGTTTTATCATATGCAGATAGCTAATACGTTAATGTTCTCACTGAAATAAGTCAATGACTTATTAACTGTAGCCATTCTTACTTATGCTTTCTCCCTCCCCCAAGTGGCTAGCTACTAGGCAGATGGGGACTCACTCTGAGACCTAGAGCAGTGACAGCTAGTTGGTGAGAAGCTGAAGGCTTCTTGACTCATGCTATTCTTTCCTCCATGCTGTGCTTTTGTTGTTCTTTTCAGCAGATCCTTGTCTAACAGTAGAGAGTGGGAAAGGATTCTGCTCAGGTACAAGGAGTGGTGGGCTTTGTTTTTTCAAGCATGCAGAGTGTTTTCTATTCTTCCAGCATGTGGTGTCATCATTATTTTTATAGGCAGTATTTTGAGTCCTCAGAATATTGGCCACATTCCTATGGAGGAATTCTAAAACTGGGAATACACTTTGGTTTACCCATTTCTTCAGACTGTTGTTCCACTGTTTCCCTCTTTCCACTAGCATTTATTCTTAAAAGAGTTAACTGGGTATTACATTCATTTGAAACAGTATATCCTCTTGTCACAGTGGTCACATTCTGACTCTAATTTTCAGAAGGGGTATTTTTACTTCTCAGATATGACTCAAATTGTGTTTCCCAAATTTCCTGTTGGACGCAGCCCTCTAAGGTTAAAGTTCTGCTTTAGCTCACCCTCCTATTTATATCAAAAACATTTTTCTTTGTTAAAACAACTAAACCTAAGTATACTTCATCAGGCACTAAATCAAATTGTTTTAAAATAATGATTTAAACATGTTTTTCTCTATCAGGTATTTTTAAAAAGATGATCTCTAACAGTGTGCTGTTGGCATAAGGCTTGACATGTAGGTCAGTGAAGTACAATTGAGAGCCCAGAAACAAACCCTTACATTTATGGTCACCTGATCTTCAGGAAGGGTGCTGAGACCATTCAATGGGGAAAGAACAGTCTTTTCAACAAGTGGTGCTGGGAAAAGTGGATACACATAGAAAAGAATGAAGTTGGACCCCTACCTCACACCACACACAAAAATTAACTCAAAATGGATTGTGGACCTAAGTGTAAGAGTGAAACTGATAAAACTCTTAGAAGAGTACCTAGGCTTAAATCTTTGTGACCTTGGATTAGGCAGTGGTTTTTTAGATATGACACCAAAAGCACAAACAACTAAAGGTGGGGGGAATAGATTAATTGGACTTCATCATAATTAAAAACTTGTGCTTCAAGGGATACTATCAAGAAAGCAAAATGACAATCTGCAGAATGGGAGAAAATGTTTGGAAATCATGGGTCTGATAAGAAACTTACATACCAAATATATAAAGAACTTTTAGAAATACAGATGAGAACTACAATGAGATGCCACTTCATACTCACTGGGATGGCTAAATTTAAAAAGACAGACAATAACAAATATTGGTGAGGATGTATAGAAATGGGAGCCCTCATCCATTGCTGGTGGGAATGTCAAATGGTGCAGCCACTTTGGAAAACAGTTCTGCAGTTCCTCAAAATGTTATACATAGAGTTACCATATGCCCACGTACAAACTGTACACAAATATTCGTAACAGCATTATTCATAATAGTCAAAAAGTAGAAACCATTCAAATGTCTTATCAACTGATGAATGGATATTTAAAATCTGGTATATATACCAAAAACCAAACCCACTGCAGTCGAGTTGATTCTAATTCATAGCGACCCTATAGGGCAGGCTGCATATCTTTATGGCAGCAGACTGCCACACATTTGTCCCGCCGAGTGGCTGGTGGGTTTGAACTGCCGACCTTTCCGTTTGAACTGCCGACCTTTCCATTAGCAGCTGAGCACTTAACCACTGTGCCACCAGGGCTGCTTGTAGTATATATAGGCAGTGGAATAGTATTCAGCCATAAAAAGGAATCAAGGACTGTATATGTGCTACAACATGTATGAAGCTTGAAAACATTATGGTAAGTGCAAGAAGGTGGTCACAAAAGGCCACACACTGTATGATTCCATTTGCATGAAGTGGCCAGATAAGGCCACTTTGTAGACAGGAAGTAGATTAGTGGTTGCCTAAGACTGGAAGGGTTGGGGGAAATACGGAGTGACTGCTAATGGACATAGGGTTTCTTTTTGTAGTGAAGAAAATGTTCTAAAATTGATCGTGGTGGTAGTTGCACAACTCTTTGAATATGCTAAAAAAACCACTGATTTGTATACTTTAAAGGGGGTGGATTGTATGGTATGTGACTTATATGTCAATAAAGCTATTATTAAACAAGAAAGACAAGCTCTGAGATCCTAATCGTCTGTCTCATATTGTACTTGTGATTAATTATTCTTACCCTAAACTTTACTATGGACTTAGGTTAGAGTTGCTTTTCTAAGTCTATCGTCCTGAGTAAATAAATACCAAACAAAAGTCAGGTGTTAGTTTTGCACAAGAGTTGGTAAAGTGAGAAACATTTGAAGGAAAGGGACAACGAGAAGTAAGCAGGACAGTCTCGGGAAGAGTACAAAGAACAAAGTGAGGGTTGGCAGTGAGGTGAAGGGTGTGAGGTCAGCATCCTCTCTGTGTGTCCTTCCCCAAAGACCCTTGATGACGCCTTCCTCCTATACCTTTCTTTCTTTTTTTGCCCTATTCCTTTTGTATCTACCTAGTATTTCAGTTGAGCCCTCTTCCCATGAAAGCTGCCTGCATCTCCATTCCTTGCTGGCATGTTTTATCTGCCCCACTTCAATTCCTTGCCAACCCTATTCTCAATCTGAGCTTTATGTCCTAAATTTCCTACTTTCGTTTTCATAATCTTGTGCTTCTCAACACTTGTTCTGCTTCCTTCCCAAACAGCTCAGCCTCCAATCCCAGTGCTCCTCCCCCACCTCATGTCCACATCTTGTCTCTGGGGACTTGCCTAGTGTCTGCTCATCTATGTGGAAGATCCTGCTCTGTAGGATCAAAGGACCTGTGTCTCTCTACTGAAGCGCTTTCAGATGTGTGAATAGTTGTATTTGTTCATGTTAATGGGGGTAAGAGGGGACGTTAACGTTTAGAAATTCCATTATGATGATTCTCTAGGAGTTTTCCAACTAAAAAAATTTAAGCCAAAAAATACCTGCCTCCTCAGTTTATAAGTAAGAAACGATAGTATGTGGACCAAAGCTTAACTAAGGTTTTAGAAAATGAAACTGTGACAGAAACATAGGCTAAGTCAGAGAAAACCATTTGACGTTTAAAGACAACATGACAATTGCCCTCCGCCCTTCCCCAAATCTCTAAGTCATGAATTTATGAAGAAATCATACGATGATATATTGGAAAGTAAAGAAAAGCAAACTAAAAGGACAGTATTGTCAGTATGCTCCTATTTTGGTGTAAAGAACATCTATATGTGAGTATAAAAGAAAAGGCACAGTTAAATTCTCTAGATGGTGGAATTGTGCTTTTCTCCTTTGTTCTTATATTTCCTAATTTTCTTTTATAATGAGTGCCATTGCTTTTGTAATAAGAAACACATTTTTAACTTTAAAAAAATGTGATAGCAGAGGTGTAGAAAGAGTAATTATCCTGAATATAAAATTAGAAGCACTAATGGAATTGGTGTTGTATGAAAATAGTCAGGTTAATAGGGATAGCATTGGATTATCAATCATTCTGTCAGCAATGTTTAGTTTCTGGTATTTTATATTTTAGTGTTTGTAACTAGAATATTTCTGATGGAATTGGAGGAATAATTATTTATGAAATTTTTTATGAAACTGCTTTGCCTGAGAGTTGTCTTTTCACAAGCATACCTGTGGGTATGTAGAGGGGTACTGGTACTTAGCTTCTCGCAACAGAAGAGAGATGGGTTTTGTGTCTCGTTTCAGTAAGTGAAATAATTGCAGAATGGAGTTGTATAGAAAATCAGATGAAGGCCCTAGAATTGTTTTTTCTAAGGGAGATGGTGAAGGAAATTGTTTCTATTTAATCTGTATGTAAAAACAAACAAACAAACAAAATTTATTCTTTATTCCCAGATTAGAAATGATATTTGCCAAATTTGATGAAGTTCAAAATTCAGGCGGTATGATTTTGAGTGTCTGCAAAGGTAAGAGTAAGTTATTCCCGTTCTCAAACATTTCTAAGATTATTTAGCAAAGTTTTAGATGCTAACGTGAGTCTTCAAGTCAACTCTCATGTCACTGTGATTGAGCGGAGTTGGCTTTGTAGCTCAACAGTTTAGTTGGGCTGCAGTGATAGTCTTTCCGACCTGCTGCTGATCACCTGTGGTCCCACTCTTTCAAAATACGTGAACATTTAATGCTAGATCACTTGTGTAAAATGACATTGTAGTTTTACTTCTTATTTTTGATCTTCTGGGTTGAGCGTAGGATGACCCCCTTGCCCCTCCACATTCCATGCGTAAGATATATTTTTGTTCTCAGAGTAATTGTTTTACTTAGTTGTTTCTAGTGGAATTTGTGGATTGGTGGATTCTATTACGCAGACTATCAGTGATGCTGGTGAGAAGATGCAAACACAGAGCTTCACCAGCATAATCACCTTTGGCTTCTTAATGCAAATGAGACCAGACTGGAACTCGGGGTGGCTGGGTTAGTATCTGGCATTTATTTGATTTTGTAGTTGCTCTCCTTTTTGTAGGAGCCCTGGTGGCGCAGTGGTTAAGAGCTCGGCTACTAACCAAAAGGTTGGCAGTTTGAATCCACCAGCCACTCCTTGGAAACCCTATGGGGCAGTTCTACTCTGTCTTATAGGGTCGCTATGAGTCAGAATTGACTCGACAACAACAGATTTGGTTTTGGTTTTGGTTCTCCTTTTTGTAAGATTGTTAAATTGTGTTTAGTTTTGTTGGGTAGCATTTACCTAGATTAAAAATTAGCAACATATATGAAGAATATATGCTATTCCCCAAGATTTTCCTAGGAAAATCCTAGGTTTTTCCACCTAGGAGAGTAGCTTCATGTCAAAGAGTGTGGTTAGGTTGGAAATGTAAACGATTTTGGAGAATAAATTTGGTCTGTGAACTGTGTAGTCAAATAATAGGAAAACTGGTTACTAATACGATTTAGTTATTTTTCTCTGGGTTAAACCAAGGCTAAGCCTAGTTGTGTTGGGTGAAGGCGGATGGAATGAGAATTTAGTGTTATAGAGGTTTGTGTCTGCCCTGATCTAAACTCAGTTCCAGAAGCATACGTTGACTTCGGTGCTGCCAGTCCTCACCCTGGCTGCCAGCTGTTTCTCACTCCTCTTCTCTGAATAGAAGGTGTTTTAACTACCTCATCCTTATTTTTCCAGCAGTTACCTCTGTCCATTCCCATGGAAACCCGAAACAGCAGGAAGATAGAGTTGTTAAAACTCCTTGAACTGAGATGTGTGTGTTTTCATAACATTTATAATACTCTCTCATTTGTGTATTCCATTCTATGTAGTTAGAACTCTAAAGAAAAATGTGTAATCCATATTATAAATTTTGAGATTGTTTACTTTGCAGGCACTGTTAATTCTTACTTTTGTGAGGTTATTTCTGTTGCCTTCAAAACAGAAGCTTTTTAGATTCCTCCTCTTTTAGCTCCTCTTTCTTTTTCTCTTTTTATGTATGTATTCTCTTGGAGAGAGTCTTCAGAGATTGTATTAGAGATTATGATCTGAATATGGCAAGTTTTGTCAAATGTGAAAGTTATTTATAGTATATGGAAAGATAAGGAGATAAGGAAGTTGGCCATGATATTTTTGATGCTGTCACTGAAAATACTTTAATGAATTAGCAAGGGAGAGGGATAGAAGAGGGAAGATCGTTAATCATGTTGGCAGGTCCTAGGGCCCAGGCTTTTGACCTCTCTTCTCCCCTGTCTCCATTCATTCATTCGTATTCTTTCTTTCTCTTTCTCTCCTCCCCCACCCCTCGGTGCTTTAATCCAGCCAAAGGCTTTAAATGACAACTATTTGCTGATGATGCCCAAATGTGTAGTTCTAGCCCTGACTCATCTTTCCCTGATGCTCTAGACTTGGTAGCCTGTGGCCTGATGACATTTCCACTTGGATGCTTGATGGGTATTTCAGGCTTAATGTGTCCAAAAGTGAAACCCTGTTGTCTCTTCTTGTCCCCACATCTGCTCCTCCTCCAGTCTTATCCATTCCGGTCAGTGGCACCACTGTTCACTCAAGATAGAGACGTAAAGGTCATTGTTGATCACCCATTCTAGCTAATCAGTCTTTACTACCTCTGAAATACTAATAAATCCCGAATTTGCTTGTTGTCCGTCTCTGCTGCTAACACCCTACTCTAGTTGCCGTTGGTGTTTACCTGGACTGTTGCAGCAGACTTCTGTTCCATGTTTGTTCCCCTGTAATCCATTATCTACCCAGAAGTCAGAGTGAACTTCTTACAGTGTAAATTAGGTCATGTCACAACAGTGAAGAAGACAGTTAAAGTTCCTGCCCTCAAGGAGCCTGCGTTTTAGTGAGGGAGCTAGATTGTAAGGAAGCAAACAAATAGATAAACAAGGTGATTATAGCTGATAATGGAGGAAATACAACTCTTCCTTGTTTAATGACTTGAAATTATTCCTAAGAACCCTGCTGCTCAGTGAAAAGCTATTCAATGGAAAAAAAAATTTCCACTAATATTAATGAGAAAAATTACGATCAGGTGTTTTATTCCAAGCCAACATACCCAGATAATCTTCACAAGTAGCAAAGTATATTAATTGAACATTGAAAACAAACTCTTATGAGTAAATTTGAAAGCAACTAAATAGTGTACACATGAAATGTAATATAATGGAGATTTATTGGACTCCTTTTTTATTTCTACACAAATTTTTTCCACAAAATTTTCAGCTCTTTGTTGGCTCTTTGTTATCTTGCACTAAAACTAAAAATTGAAATAAAGCTATAAACCCAAACCCAAACCCACTGCCGTCGAGTTGATTCCAACTCATAGCAACCCTATAGGACAGAGTAGAACTGTCGCATAGGGTTTCCAAGGCTGTAATCTTTATGGAAGCCGACTGCCACATCTTTCTCTCGCAGAGCAGCTAGGGGGTTCAAACCGCCGACCTTTAGGTTAGCAGCCAAGCACTTTAACCACTGTGCCACCAAAGCTTCCAAAATAAAGCTATAGAACAGAAAAATACTTTGGGGCAAATTAAAGACCAGCCACAAGAACTTGTGGAAGTAGTTCATGTCTCCAACATGCTGAAGAACGTTGAAGATGCCTCTTCCTCTCCCTTGGTGTGTGTATGCAAAGCAAGTTGTTTTGCATATGATATTCTCTGACTAGAAACTGTTATGGCAAGTGAAATTTTTTCACGTGTCTTTGCATGAAACCATGATAATGAAGTACCACCTTCTTATAGTGTATTGATTTAGAGTGTTTTAGGATGAAAAAGTCATTTTACTAAATACCAACAACTACAACAAAAGGATTTGTTGGAAAGGCGTTAGAACTTTTTAAGATCTATTTTAGCTAGAAGTTGTTAACTGAGTAGTCATTGAACCAGAAGAACCATGTGTGGTTTAGGTGATTCCGACCCATGGGAACCCAACTCTCTTAGTCATCTAGTGTTGCTGTAACAGAAACACCACAAGTGTATCCACAAAGCTTCAACAAAGAGAAATTTATTCTCTCACAGTCTAGTAGGTTACAAGTCCAAATTCAGGGCATCAGCTCCAGGGGAAGGCTTTCTCCGTAGGCTCCGGAGGAAGGTCCTTGTCATCAGTCTTCCCTTGTTCTGGGAGCATCTCAGCACAGGAACCTCAGGTCCAAAGGACGCGCTCTGCTCCTGGCGCTGCTTTCTTGGTGGTATAAGGTCCCCATATCTCTCTGCTCGCTTCTTTTATATCTCAAAAGAGATTGGCTTAAGACACTATCTAATCTTGTAGATCTCATCAATATAACTGCCACTGATCCATCTTATTACATCATAGTGATAGAATATACAACACACAGGGAAATCACATCAGATGGCAAAATGGTACACAGTCATACAGTACTGGGAATCATGACCTAGCCAAGTTGACAGATATTTTGGGGGGACACAATTCAATCCATGACACCAACCTCATGCATGTCATAGTAGAACTGTGCTCCACAGGGTTTTCAATGGCTGATTTTTCGGAAGTAGCTAACCAGGCCTTTCTTCCAAGGTGCCTCTGGGTGCATTCCCACCTCCAGGCTTTCAGTTAGCAGCCAAGTGCATTAACTGTTTGTAACACCTGAGCCCTGAACAGTCATTACGTGAAGCAGGTAGGGTATTCAGATGATAAGTAACTCAGGGATGCCACTTTAGAGAGAGTAGTGGGACAAGCCTCTCTGGAGAGGTAACTTATTTGAATTGAGAATGAGCAATAGGAAAAACGTTTTGACAGAGGAAAAAAGTGGCCATAAAGCCCAGAGGTGGGAAAGGGCTTGGTATGTTTGAAAAGCAGAAGGGAGGCCAGGACTGGCTGAAGCCTAGAAAGGATGGGAAAATGGGTGATCACATATGAGGTTAGTTAGAGAAGTGAGTGGGAACCATGATAGCCTTGTGGGCCATGTGGAAGAGTTTAGATGGACTTTTGTCCAGAGGGACCCTGTGAAGGGTTTCAGCCAGGAGAGTGATGGGGTGAGTGGGAGTGACCCGGTCTAACATGCTCATCCTGTTTACATTTCTGGTTCAGATAAAGTCTGTTCAGTGTTTTCTTTATTCTCCCAATTCTCCACTTATGTGTGTTCTAATACGTATCTTTCACATCTCCTGCTTTATCTGCTTTCTTTCATCGTTGCCATATTTATATTCTTTGGGTTTAAGTTTTAGTGGAATTGCTTACCTTGATTTTCTAGAGCACTAGTTCAGCACACTCAGGAACACTAATTACATCATCAGAGATCTGAACATACCATTTAGTTTAGGAAAAGTAAGAAGCGGAAGACGTTTTCCTGTCTTGAGGGTTTTTCAAGCCTGACTATTAATTCTCTCATTACAAAGTTAGGCAGAGTCCCTAAATGCAGTGGCATTAGTTCTGCTGTTAGAAAGAAACTGGCTTTAGATCTAATCAGAGAGTGGCTGGAAAGCCTCCACACCAGCCCTGTAGGGAGGGAAAGAC